ATATATATATATATATATATAGGGAGTCATCAATGAATGGTTGAAGCTTTGAAGGTGAGCATCCATGGCAGGCCTAAGTTTCATAACATCTTCCAAATTTTTATATTCCCCAATTCTATCCGTTTCTAGAAAGGTACATCCACCGTCGCGGCCACCGCCGCAGCCGCTATTATCCGCTCCTCCTGCTCTTAATATTTGCACCAGAGCTCCGGCTTTTGAATTTGGCTCGCGGCGGAGATGGAACAGCAGAGGCATCTCGATATCAACCCGCGCCGGGACCAGCAGCTACATCTTTGCTTTCGTTGTCCCCCTGTCTATGCTTGCCTTCACCATCCTCGCTTCCATCCGCGTTGCAGATAAGCTCGACCAGCAATTCTTTGAAGAGCTTATGATAGAGCAATCAATGTTGGAATCAGATGAAGATATTGATGATGTTGGTACTTCTCCAAAGGAAGAAACGGAAAGTCCACCTAGACGTAATCGGCCCAAACGACAAGTGGAGACTCCATCTACATAAAACTTCCACCCTGTAAGCTGTTTTGGATAAACAAAGTTTAAGGTAAATACTTCCTCTGTTCCGTACAAAACATCACGGTGTGACTTTCATGGAGTGTAAAAAGAAGAAAGAGAAACTTTTTGAGCCACATATCGTCTCTTTAAAAGGAAAGTGAATTTTTTAATGAATGAATGAAAAAGTGAACGATGAAGTTTTTTATGGGACAGAAAGGGTTGGCTGTCTTGGGATTCATCTGTATTGAATACTAGAGCTGTTTTTTTCATGTGTATTGAAGTTTTTTATGGATGAATATTGAATGTGGTGTTTGTGCAAATTTGTATCATTGAAAATAAAGCAATGAATTTCCATTGCTATTATTGGAAAATATATATATATATATATATATATATATATATATATATATATATATATATATATATATAATGCTATAAAATGCCTAGAGAGAGAATAAGGCCGGAATCCTCTGGTTTTCCGGGCAGCTTTCCGGCATCCCACCATGAGAGGTCTCTCAATACATCTCCCAAAATATTCAACAGACTGCATTCTCTATCACAAGCTAAGAAATTCTTTAGTCAAATTTTCCTAGAAGAAGGGAATAATGTATTGGGGAAGATTGAGGGTTCATACAATGATATGCCGTCAGCCACCTTTACACTTGATGAAGAAAGATTGCTTGGTAGTAAGCTGCAGTTTGCTCTGGTTGGAAGAGGAGACAGATTCATCAATCTCAACATTCTCAAGAGTTTTCTTGAAGGGACTGGGTTCCAGGGAGGCTTCAAGTTACGTAGATTTCTCAACAACGATGTGCTTATTCTTTTCCACAAAGAGGAAGAATATCTGAGATTCTTCATCAGAGGTACTTGGATTTTCAATAATACAAAGTTTTATGTTTCCAAATGGTCCCCTGAGTATAATCCCCACCATGACTGCTCAGTAGTTCCTTTATGGGTTACCTTCAGCAACCTTCCCACCCATTTTATTAACCCAGAATCCTTATTCACCATAGCTAGCACCATTGGTCAGCCTTTTCTCATGGATTCTCCAATAGCTAATCTTATTAGGACCAATGAGGCAAGATGTTGTATTGAAACAGATCTAGCAAAACCTCTTCCCTCCCAAATTCATATTAGAATTGGTCCTAGATATTTACTCCTTCCTTGTAAGTTTGAAAATGTTCCAGGATTCTGTCAACAGTGTCACAAGCTTGGTCTAGGTAAAAGTCTGATAATAACCAAGCTACAAATGTAGGAGGTTGGACTTTGGTTAAAAGTAATTATACAAAAGGAAACATCAGGGTGTATGGGAGGGGACCCCATTGGTGATAGACATAAGAGGAGTGATGGCTGGATATTAGAATCACTTTCTAAGAAGCGTCAGGCAACACACTCAGTCAATAATCACAAGGTAAATATAGAGAAAGGCTGGACATTGGGTAAAACCAAGAGGGACCAGGCTACTTCCTCTAAAGTTACTGTGAGGGATGGCTGGACATTGGGAATTGAAAATCCCAAGAGGTGCCAGGCTACATCCACAGTGGGCAAATCTGGGGATTGGACATTGGAAAATAGAATTTCCAAGAGGAGCCAGGAAACATCCACAAAATCCAAACAGATATGGGTTCCACTAATCAATTCAAATTCCAAGGAGATACAGGTTATAGTGGATTCTGGGACCCATAATACAGTTACAACAACTTCAGGACAAATGAATAAGAGTTCAGAAGCAATTCTAGTGAGTCCAGACCCTACAAGTTTGCAGAAAAGTATGTTAACATTTCCCAACTTACCCATTCAGAAGGACTTTGAAAAAAAAATTATCTCTCCCACTTGGGGTCTTCACTCCATCTTCAAGGTTCAGGATCACTTCCCATCCTTCTCAGTAGCTAGAAAATTTGCATCAAACTTATTCCTGCAGAATAATGAAAAAGGCAATAAGAATCAATCCAACTCATGGAAAAGTGATAGGGAAGCTTTTTCCTTGACAGGGGAAGCTACCTCAAAACCCCCTCTCATTTCATTAGATGACAATTTCTTGAATCAGGCTCAGGCAATTGAACTTGAGGATACTGAAACAATCAAAGACAGTGAAGAGAATTACATGGAGGATGCAGGTTACCACTCAGAAGGAGAGAAGGAACCAGTTATTTGGATTAATTCTGAGCTTTAACCTTTTGATATCTCAATTCCTAAACATAATTCTCCTAAGCTAGCAATTCCAAAAGCAAATAATAAGGAGTCTTCCTCTGTTGCTAGAACTATTATGACAAGGAGTAAAGCTAGGGCTCTTGAAGGACATCAAAAAAACACTTATGAATTGTCTTTTCTGGAATGTTTGTCTCATTAAACCCATTGTGGATGACAAAAAAAGGGAGTGGTATAAACTCTCTTTGGGGTTCTCTAACACTATTGGTGGTCTTAACAATAAAATGTGGATTTTTTGGAAAGAAACCACTCTTCAGTTACTTGATTCTAAAGAAGAAACTCAATGTATTCATACAGATTACTGGTGCCCTACCTTCAATAACAAAATCATGTTCACATCAGTATATGGGGCCACTACTCAACAGTCAGAAGAATTCTCTGGGAAGATCTGACCAAAGCTAGCACAAATTCTCACCCATGGTTTGTGGGTGGTGACTTCAACACCATTCTTATCTTGGATGAACACAAAGGCTCTTTCTCTCCTTATTTTAAAGACATGGAAGAATTTAATGACTGTATTGATGCTTGTGGTCTTACTGCACCACCTTTCTCAGGTGGAATATTTACTTGGAGTGGTTCAAGAAGTAAAGGGAAGCTTTGGAGAAGATTGGATAGGGTACTTCATAACCATTCAACTACTGAGGTTTTCAATGAAATCAATCTCACCCATTTAAGCAAGACAACCTCTGATCATAAGCCTTTGCTTATCCTCTGCAAAGAAGGAGGGTTTAAGGGCCCTAAACCTTTCAGGTTCTTGAATGTCTGGGCAACACACCATAGCTTTATGGAAGTGGTCTGTGATTATTGGGAGCACAGCCCAAAAATAGGTGGGATGACAGGTTTTGCTAGTAAACTTAATGGTTTGAAGCTTGTTCTGGCCCTTTGGAGCAAGACTCATTTTGGTAATATTTTCAAGGAAGTGAAGGATAATGAAGTGAAAGCAGCCAAAGCCCAAGAAGATTTTGAAGCTGATCCTACAGAGGAAAAAGAGCTCAGGCAAACCTAGCTTCAACTAATCTTATCATTAGCCTCAACAAAGAAGTGAATTTCTGGAAACAAAAGGCTAGCATAAAGTGGATGACAGAAGGAGATTACAACTCAAAATTTTTCCATTTTTGTGAAAAGCAAAAGAAAAAAACACTCAATCAAATCAATCCAAGATGATCAAAGTAACATTCTGGCAAGACAAGAGGATATTTGCAGAGAGGCTATTCAATATTTTTCAAATTGCTACACCACAGCAAATCAGACAGAAGAGTCCATTATTACACAATTCTTTGATCAAGTCATTGATGAAAGAGACAACCAACTGATCTGCTCACTCCCTTCTGAAGCTGAGGTTCACAAAGCTATTATGAATCTTAATCCAGATAGTGCTGCTGGCCCGAATGGTTTCAATGGATACTTCTTTATAATCTGCTGGAATATTATCAAGGTGGATGTCATTCTTGCCTGTCAGGAATTCTTCTTGGGATTTCCAGTCCCCAGATCTTTTGGAAGCACTTTTATTACTCTTATTCCTAAGATTGAAGATCCTAAAGGGTTTGGTGACTACAGACCCATATCCCTTTCCTCCTTCATGAGCAAAATTAATACCAAGATCCTAGCTACCAGATTGGCCACACTGCTACCCAAATTTATCTCAGAAGAGCAGAAAGGATTTCAAAAGAACAAGTGAGTAGAGGAATAGATTTTATTGGCTGAGGAAATGGTTCACATGATAGATAAAGAAGTCAGAGGAGACAATTGAATTGTCAAGTTGAATATGGCAAAAGCCTTTGATAGAGTGGAGTGGAGCTATCTTATTAAAATCTTGGAAAAACTGGGGTTTAACTTACACTCCCAAAAACTCCTTATGGCTAACCTAGTAGGTTCCCATCTTTCTATTCTTATTAATGGTACACCTGCTGGTTTCTTCCAAATGAAGAGAGGGGTGTGTTAGAATAAGTGCCCTTCACTAGAGGTGGGGTGAATAGTGAGGCACGAGAATGTTTATAAATTTTCACGGAATAAAAATCGCAGAGATAAAATAAAGAGCGGAATAAAAAAGCGTAAGGAAAGAACTCACCGATTTTACCCTGGTTCACCACAACGTGTGGCTAGTCCAGCCTCCCGAGAGACTCTCTCGAGCTACACTACTTTCGTTAATCTTACGGGTGCTTAACAAACCGTTACAACCTGAGAACTCGAGTCCCACGAGCCTCAATACACTTGCTCGGAGATACCGCACTCCAAGACTTCAACTTGAATGAATATGCCCTTCCTTCGTACAACCAAGGGAACAAACCTCCCTTAAAGTGTTCACAACACTTAACCACTCAAGAACAAAAACTCTCTTAAAGAGTAGAATATGAGTAAACTAATTTAGATCAAGAACACACTCAATTCCTCAAGAAATGGCTCTAAAAAGCTATGTAAAAAGTTTATGGAATGATGCAATGTAAAGCTATGAAATGTGTGAGGAATGGATGTGAAAAGTAGACCCAAGAGACCCCTTTTTATACCCAAAAACAAGGTGCAACGGTTGGGAGAAGATTGGGGTTGATTGGCTTGATTTGTGGAAATCAAATAAAAGTGGATCTAATGAAATCTAGCCCGACAGCGTTGTTCATATAGTGAACATCGCTGTTTTGGCTTTGACTTTCCTTTAAAAATGGCTAACGGTCATCAAAACATCAATGTCTATAAGTCTACATGGATGTTGGGGTGTTTGACTTTCAAAAATGGAAAGATTTTGTCATAAATAGCCCAACGGTCATTTGAAAACATCGTTGTTCAACAATGAACATCGCTGTTCAAAAACCTACTGCCCAAGACTGTCGTGAGCCAATCTGGCCAAAACATAGATGTTCAAATCTCAACATTGCTGTTCAGAAATAGATGTTCAAATCCCAACATCGCTGTCCAGACATCTATGTTCAAGATCCTACATCTATGTTGGGCCTGGTCGCCAGAACCATGGTTTGACAGCCAACGCCGAAAACCGATGTCAAAAACCAAAGTTCTCCAAAATGAAAACCAAGTGTTGGAAACTCTTATATAATTTATTTAATGTAGAAACCAAGTATAAAAACTTAAAAACCACTTCATTGAGGTAAAAACCACGCCTAGCCAAGTTTATGCCGTTTCACATGGTTTTCACCAAAAGACCAAAAACGAAAGGTGGTTTTTAACATGGTTTTGTTGGAGAACCATTTGGATATGCCCTGAAGTAAAAACCAATCATAAAATCTTAAAAACCACTTGATTGATTTGGATGCCAAAAACCAACGTCGATAACCAGCGCCGAATGCTGATAACCAATGCCAAAAAAACAAAGGTTATGGTTTTTGAAAACTAATGATTTGTAAAACCTTTAAATGTGTCTAGAAGCAAAAACCAAAGATAAAGATCCAAAAACCATCTGGCTAAAATGAATGCCAATAACCAATGCCGAAAACCGAACGCCATAGCCGAACGCCGATAACCGATGGTTATGGTTTTGGTTGGGCAAGAACCGGATGTTTTAGACGCTTAAAACCATTTATGAAAAAACTAATTTGATGCGTGAAAAACATATTTTGTTTTGAGCCATGACTTAGAGAAATTGAATGAGCTTGTTACAATAAAAACCTAAATATTTAGACAACGTCTTCAAAACGCCAATGTCGCCAACTTTAGAAACATCAATGCCTTTCTTGTGCTTTTTGTTCGTTCAAAGAACATTTTCTATCTCTTTGAATCTTTTCATTTTGTTTCATGTTCCCGACGGTTTGTCAATATCAAAACCTAAATGGAAACAAACATTCTCATTAGCAAAACGTCAAAGTGAAAGTGTTTTTCAACAGGGTGAAACAACGTGACCCTCTCTCACCTCTTCTATTTTTGATTAACAGTGCGGGTTTTACAAGAATGATCAACTCACATATGCACTCCACCCATCTGGGCAGCTACAACACAGGAAATCACCCACTTATAAGCCACTTGGCTTTTGTAGATGACCAAGTGTTTTCATCAATGGGGATACAAGGAATTTGAAAAAGTTTAGAAGGATTCTAGAGGACTATCAGAATGGGTCAGGGAAGTAAGTGAACCTTAGTAAGTGTAGCTTTTAGACTAGGAAGAAAGTCAACCAGACAAAAATTGCATCAATGTCCAGAAGTCTAGGTATGGATCATGGGGAACTACCTTTCACTTACTTAGGTGGTACAATGGTCAAAGGAAAGTTAAGGAAATAGAATTGCTCCAAGCTCGTGAATCACTTTTACTGATATCTAAACACTTGGTTCAGCACCAAACTCAACCCTATGGGGAGACTTGTGCTAATCAAACATGTACTTTCTTCCATACAATTACACACCACAGCTGTCCACACCATCCCTCAATCTATTATCCAGATCCTCCACAGAAAGATGGCCAATTTCCTATGGGGATTTAAGAATGGTAAACCTAAATACCATTGGAGCAAGTGGAGCAATTTGTGTTGTCCTACTAATGAAAGAGGGATAAACTTGAGAAACTTAGAAGATCTACAAGAAGCCTATTCAATCAAACTTTGGTGGAAAGTTCAAACAGACAACACTAAGTGGGCCAAGTTCATGAGAATCAAATACCTTAGACAGTCTGATTTTAAGGAAAGGATTTATGACTCTCCAACTTGGAAGAGAATCTGTAGAATTAATACCACAGCCAGGGAACAAACTATAGGGGAAGGTGATCAAATCAGTTGGGGTGAGGGGGAATTCACCCTTAAAAAGGCCTACAACATATGCAGAATGTCTAAGCCTACTCAACTCAATTTCTCATACTGTTGGAATAAATCTCAAATCCCTAAGGTTAAATTCTTCCTTTGGAAAGCACTAAACTCTTACCTTCCTTTCTCTTAGAAACTACAACACATGGGGTTTCACCCAGCTTCTGTATGCCACCTCTGCAAGAACAATGACGAAACCATTGACCATGTTTTCCTCCAGTGTATTTGGAGCCAGAAACTATGGCAGTTCTTTGCAGAGGCAGTAGATGGGCCAAGCTCAAGACATTATATAACCCTAAACCAACATATCATGGAATGGAACCTATCTCACAGAAGAAGGACACTAAAAGGTCAACTCCGCATCATTATACCAGGGATCATAGTATGGCACATTTGGAAGGAATACAACAGAATTACCCATGACAATGGTTCAATTAACATCAACAAGGTTCAATCAAACATTCTGCATACACTCAGAGATTAGAGCTGGAAAAACAGATGGAGAAAATGGATGATAAGAGATAATAACCTTGCAGACCTGGGATTCAACTTCTTCTTCTTGTCTGGGAAAGTTTTGAAAGGTCGAATTCCAGCGCTCATGAGTGAACCAGAGAAGATCGGAGAATGCTCATATCGAAGAGGGGAGGGCTAATCTCTCAGCTTTGAGGAGTGTATACGAGGATGTTGGTCATCATGAGTTGGTGCGGCGAGAAAGGTTTAAGAATTTGGCTTACTTGAGTTTCGTTTTACTATACTTTGGATTTTGTGTTTCTTGTATGACGTTGTCGCTACATTCGGGGTTCGGTGTCGCACCCCGAACGTGCTCGTCGTAGTCTACCTTTGGAGCTTCGGTCTAGTCCTCTTCGAACAATAATACATACATACATACATACATACATATATATATATATATATATCTATATATATATATATATCAAAAGAAACATGAATCGAAAAAACATTGTTTTGAATTGCATGTTGGGCCAAGTGATGGGCTGCTGTGTTTGCCTCCCTGAATATGTGATTTACTCGCCCTCTGGATCTATTGATGTGTTCCCTGCTCAGCCTGCTAAGAAAATCGTTATTTGTCTGATCCTTAATTCTTTTAACACAGTTACTTGAGTCGCTGTAGAGATTGATTGGTGTGTCTAGGTAAAGACATCTTCGTACTCCACCGTAAGCAGCTTCAAGTTCTCCTTCCTCTGCGGATGTTCTGTTTTGGAGGTTGAAAGTCCATGCCTTTAGAAATTCTCCCTGTCTAGTTCTTAAGATGGCCGCTCCTGCCCCTCTACCTTCTCGTAGTGCAGTGTCTGTTGTGAGAATTACTCCTTCTGCTGGGAATTGCCATTTGTGTATGGAGATTGCGCCCATCTTCACCGAGGGTATATTGTGTGTGATTCTGATGCCTTCTATTTTCTGACTCGATTGATTGATGACCATCCATTCATATGTTTTTTTAAGAATGGTGTTGATGGTTTGTTGGACATTGTGTTCCTCGTCCTCGTAGACCCTTCTATTCCTTTCTTTCCAAATTTCATGAGTAATTATGCCTGGAATGTTGTTGATCAACNTGCTGGGAATTGCCATTTGTGTATGGAGATTGCGCCCATCTTCACCGAGGGTATATTGTGTGTGATTCTGATGCCTTCTATTTTCTGACTCGATTGATTGATGACCATCCATTCATATGTTTTTTTAAGAATGGTGTTGATGGTTTGTTGGACATTGTGTTCCTCGTCCTCGTAGACCCTTCTATTCCTTTCTTTCCAAATTTCATGAGTAATTATGCCTGGAATGTTGTTGATCAACGAAGTGTTTTCTCTTTGTTTTTGTCCTTGCTTCCACCAGTTGGTTAAGTAACTCAAAATTCCATGATTGATGCCTCTGATTATGCTGAATACTTCCTCAAAGTATGTCCAGATTTGCTTACTGAAAGGGCAATTCTGGAAAAGATGTGTGCTGCTTTCCTCATTATTCCTGCATAAAAAACAAATAGAGGGACTATGGAATCCCATTCTAGTTAGTGATTGGGGAAGGGGGAGGCAGCCAAAACTAAGTTTCCAAAGAAACAATGAGTGTTTAGGAGTCTGCTTAGGGGTCCAGCAGAATTTAGTGAAAGGATGGATGGGGTTTTTCTCTCTCAGTGAATTCTTTGCCTTCTTCATGCTAAAACCAGCATCATTTTTATTCCACCAAAGTCTCCCAAAATCATCTATATGGAACAGACTTTGCGCAATGTCATTGGCTTTGTAAAGTGTTTTCCAATAGATAGAGTCTATGATTTTGGGGGCAGTGTCAAGACCTCTAGGGTATCTGGCCCTCATGAACTTTGCCCACAATGAATCATTTTGAGTGTAGGTCCACCACATTTTGAGTCCATAAGCTTCTTGAATGGTGGTGAGATCAGTCAGGCCTAAGCCACCCTCCTCTTTGGGGAAGCAAAGTTTCTCCCAAGTGGCCCAATGATATTTATTTCTACCATCTACTTTACCCCAAAGAAAATTACTCATCTTTGTATGGAGACTCTTGATGATGCTCTTTGGAATTTTGCTGCAGCCCAATAGGTGAAGTGGAATTGAGTTGAGCACATGTTTAATGAGAACAAGTCTTCCATTCATGCTCAAGAATTTTTTGTACCAATCCTGAAGTTTGTTGTCAAAGAGATTGAGGAGGTTTGTGTAGTATTTCTGTCTATTAATACCTTGATGAATCTGCACACCTAGGTATTTAAAAGGTAGGGAACCTTTGTTCATGCCAAGGATTGCCTCTGTTCTCTTTAAAATATAATGGGATGTTTTTTTTTGGAGTGTAAAAAGAACATTTTCCCTGGTTAATTTGTTGACCAGAGCAATCCTCATAATCTTTAATCAGGCGCTTAATTTTGGCTAAGTTTCTAGCACTGCCATTAGAGAAAAGTATAAGATCATCAGCATAGGCAAGATGTGTGACTGAAAGAAAGTGCCTCCCAAGGTAATAAGGGGAGAGATGGCCAGAGGAAGTCTCTGCTTTAATGGTTCTGCTGAAAGCTTCTGAGAAAAGAATGAATAACAGAGGGGAGATAGGGTCACCTTGCCTAAGTCCCCTATTAGGCTTAAAACTCTTGGTTTGACGGCCATTAACCAAAAGGGAGAAATGTGAGCTCTGAAGAAGATTTAGGATAAGATTTTGGAATTTATGACTGAACCCAAATTTATTTAGGACAGTCATTAGAAAATTCCAGGAGATCCTGTCAAAAGCTTTAGACATATCAAGTTTGATAGCAAGATTTCCTCCTCTGGTAGGGTAGTCTAACCCATGGATAAGTTCCTGGGCAATGAGTATCTGATCATGAATTACCCTTCCCTTAATAAATCCTCCTTGTTCTGGGGAGATTATGTGAGGTAGTAAGGAGCTCAACCTTTGGGCAAGAATTTTAGAGAGGACTTTGAAATTGAAATTAGATAGGCAAATAGGCCTATAGTCCTCACAAGTGATGGGATTCTCTTTTTTGGGGATGAGGATTATATTAGAGTGGGAAATGCACTTAGGAATTGGGATGCCTAGGAAGAATTCTTGAACTGCTTTAGTACAGTCTTCCTTGATCTCCTCCCAATTTTGTTTGTAGAATTCCCCATTGAATCCATTTGGGCCTGCTGAACTGTCTGCGGATAGAGACCAAATTGCATCTTTTACTTCTTGTTCATCTGGAAGAATGCTCAGTTTTTCATTATCCTCAGTCCTCAGTAAATTAGGGATGTTGTTAAGGAATCTGTTGCCATCCTTTAATTCCTTTTCCTGAAAGAGTTTTTGGAAATATTGGAGAAACTCCTCCTGGATATCCCCTTGATGATGTAACCAGGTTCCTTGAGTGCTCTTAATCCTGGAAATCTTCTGATGTCTTCTCTTTTCTTTGGTAATTGCATGAAAGAAGGCTGTATTAGAGTCACCCTCTTTTGCCCATTTAATATTAGCTTTCTGCTTCCAGTATGAGAACTCCTGTTTTGTGGCTTGAATCAATTTTGCTTTGACTTCATGCATCTTCAATCTGTTATCTGGAGTGGGTTGGTTGTCAAAAAGTCCTTCCATTTCTTGTAATTCACCTTCCAAAAGCTGCACTCTATTGAATATGTTCCCAAAAATATTTTTGTTCCAGTCTTGGAGAATAGGGGCCAAATGAGCTAGTTTGCTTCCTAGACCTCTCATACCCCCTCCAGTGTATCTTCCCTAGCTAGTAACAATAAGATTTTTGAAAGTATTGTGAGTATTCCAGCAGTTGATGTATCTGAAGGGCCTTGGACCATTGTAGGTAGAGCTACTGAGTTTGACCAGAATTGGAGAGTGGTCTGATTCTCCTCTAGACAGATGTCTACAGTTTATGTCTTGAAAAGAGTTTAGGGAATGATAATTGTGAAAGAATCTATCCAATTTTCTCCAAACTCTCCCCTTGGATCTAACCCCAGTCCAAGTGAAAGGATTTCCAATGGTTAATGGGGAAATAAGGGATGTATCCATGAGACACTTGTCAAAATCTTGAATACTTTGGAGGCAGGGGGAGCTTTTCCCCTTATGATGATCCACTGTAGAAATGCAGTTGAAATCCCCCCCAAGAATCCAAGGATGCTGGAGGTTGAGACTAGTTGTGTGAATGTTTTTCCAGAGGATTCTTCTGTCAGCAAGGGTGTATTTACCATAGACAATGGAAATGGTTATGGGGTTATTATTATGCAAGAAATATATGTTAATGAGTTGATCCACTTCCTGGTGAGTTGTGTAATGAAGGGTTTCATCTTTCCACATAATCCAGGCTCTGTTGTCAGCCATAACAATGGAGTGAGTGAACCCAAGAGAAAGCTGGTAGTGTGTGATTTTCTGCTGATGTGTTTTAGGTTCCAAAATAGCAAAAAGGGAAATCTTGTGAGTGGAAGTGAGAATAGCTACCCTCTGGAGTTTGGAGGGCAGCCCACAAACATTCCAATAGAGAAGATTCATTGGGAAACATGTTGTTTTTGACTGTTTGAGGAAAGCTTTTCCTGAATTCTTTTTTATTTTCTATGAACAGTGTTGAATGAAGCATCCACCTCCATCTCATTTTTCTGATCAAGGCTTGGATTTGATTGTTGTGTTGTTTTTTCAGGTGATTCAGTTGTGGGTAAAGGGACTATGTCCGGGGGTTCCTGTGGTAACTCAGAGTCGGAAAGGTAATTTGGGGTTTTTGCTTGCAGGTGGAGTTCATCCAAGGTAGGAAGAGTTTTGGTTTTCTGTGGTATTTCAGAATCAGAAAGGTAGGATGGGTTTTGGCTGGGGTGTTTTTCTTGCAGGTGGAGTTCATCCAGGGACTAGTGTTTTGTATGAGGTACGGGAGAGGTCTTAGGGGTTTGATGTTCTTCCCAGCTAAGAAGGCACTTAGAGTAGATGTGATCATGGAAGATTATTTCCCAGTCTTGATCTACTAAGTCAGAGATTAATTGAGTGTTTTTAGGCACGGATGATTGAGGATCTTGGAGAGGGTTAGAGGGGATGGACTTATTTGTGGGGCTGAGAGTGGGGCTGGGGACACTGGGCTTGGTTGGGATATTTTGCAGTGTGGGGTCTTTGGTTGTGTTATTTGGAGGGTTGCTGGTTGAGGGATCTTCTTGGAGGAGAGAGAAGGTGTTGGAAGTAGACAGGGGCTGAGAGCTAATGGGACCCTTTTCAGAGTCTCTGTCTACTGGTTTTGGGAGGACTTTTTTGTATTGTTGCTATTGATGTTTAGGAGGGGGAATTTTCAGGGAGGTTTTCACCGGAATCTGAGTTTTTGGAGGCTGATTCTTCTGATGTTCTTTAGTCAGTGGCAAGGTTTTAGGCTGTTGATGATGTGTAGGGATGAAGGATTTGCATTCCTTGCTATGTCTGCCCACCCCTCTGCACTCATTACAGTACTCAGGGAGATCTTCAAACATAGCAGTGAGCAGCACAGGAGTTTCACCATTTTTGATATAAAACTTTGTGGGCAAAGGTTTAGAAATATCCACTTCAACACAAACACGAGCAATTGATGGGCATCCAAAATTTTCAGTAGTTGTGTCAATTTTAATAGCCTTACCAAAGACATTTCCTATTCTCAAAAGTGAAGATCTTGAGTGAAGGTGAATAGGAAGGTCTTTGATAGCTATCCATAGAGGCAAGATTGGAGATTCATACCTGGGGTCAAAATCAGGAGTCCACTTGGAAATCCTCATTGAATAGGAGCCAATCTTCCAGTCATGCCTTTTGAAACATCTGTGATAGTCATTATCACTGGAGAAATTAATAAGAATGTGATTGGTGTCTATAAGAGCCACTGTGAAAGCCATGAAACCTATCCTTTCCAGACAGAGGCGGATGAATTGGAGACTTGGTCTTCCATAGTAGAAAGTGCCAACAAGAGCTCTAGAGAACCTCGCTGAAAGCTGGTTTACTTCATCGATGGTGAAGGCCACACAGGGGAGGCCTTTGTATTTCTCCACCTTAACTTCTTCAGGGATGATAGGAGCTGCACAATGCTGGCCATTGAGTGCTTGAAGGAAGGTTTTTGCTGGCTGGTCTAAATGAGAGCATCCAGGAGTATCAATGATCGCCAGAGGTCTGCCGGTGACGCCACCGGCGGTGGTTGAGAGCATAAGAAGAGAGAGAATTCTTAGAGAGAGAAATATATATATATATATATATATATATATATATATATATATATATATATATATATATATATATATATATATATATATATATATATATATATACGCCACCGGCGGTGGTTGAGAGCATAAGAAGAGAGAGAATTCTTAGAGAGAGAAATATATATATATATATATATATGGAGAAAGAAGGGGATCCTATCCTACGCGCTCGTGTTCGCGTTTCAACAACGTCGCACTATTCAGTGACGAAGCTATTTACAAATCTCAACGAGGAAGATGGCAGAACAATGGAAGGAGGAACAAGTATCACACTGCGGATCGGAAAGGTGGATGGAAAGAGCCAAGATTTGTTGGGTGGAATTCAAGATTTGGGAGATACGTCGGTCCAATTGCAAGAGAAAAAGGCATCTCAGTCACAATCGAGAGTAAGGCCTTCGAACTCCAAATTTTAGACTCTTATATCTCAATCTCTGAATTCAAGAACGGTAAAAATCTGTCGCTCTATATACCCCTTTCCAGTGCTACCTGGCTGAAGGAGTCACTAAGTCATCCCCCTCTTGCTAGGGAGGGATGGCTTATCTCGAAGTATGGAGAAGATTTTACCTTAAAATCCCATTGGAACTCCAATCAATGTGGAGAATTTGTTAGGCTAAGTGGGGGGGACTGATAAGGGCTGGTCTGTTATCTATATCCCAGTAGGTGCCAAATCTGTTGGGATAAATCTATTCGTTAAAGGTATGAAGGAAGTAATGCAACTTCATGGGGGGATTGAAGCTAGGGATGATTTTCCGAAAATTTTTAGGAAGAAAGAACCCTCTGCATCTTTTGTGTTTGAGGAACTACAGGGCCAGGGAGTGAAGGAAGAACAATTACTGAGCTCTATCTCCTCAGAACTCTTTGCCCAAGACATTGCATTAGCTACACTGAAAGTCAATTTAACAGAGGAATCTTCTTCTGAAAATACTGGGGAGGAAGAAATATTAGCACAAAGGCTATTTCAACCAGCATTTGATGAATACTTTGAATCCGTCTTCAAGGCAGTAACTTATCAAATTTAAGAGGCATTGGCAAAGAAAGTGATTATGGATAAAATTAAACAGGGTTTAGTCCAAAACATGTCGAGGAAACTAATGAGAGCAACCATTATTTAGAAGGGTCTAAATACTCAATTTTCATTTCATTTTCCAAAGGAGATGAGCAAGTTGTTGCGAAGTTCTTAACAGGAGAAGAGGGCGAGGTCACTCCAGCCATTTTTGGTTGAGCATTATCATATTAATTTACTCTATGGTTTTTGACATGATTATGGAAATTTTTTGGTGCTAGGGTTATTTGGGCAACATAGTACAAATATTAGGTCTGTTCGATCTCACTGATTTTGGTATTTCTTTGCTGGTCTTTGGTTATGAGCTCTCAATGGGCTTTGTTAGAGGCAATTCAGGTTACCTTAGATCTGCTCAGGGGCTTCGGATATTTTTATTTGCAAATGAGGGGAAGAGGCAGTTGCAGGAGGCCTCTATAGCAAAGGCAATTCACACATGGTTTTTGGTTCTTTTAACATGTCTTTTACACTTTATCAGGAGACCAGGCAGTTAAATCTCTTTAGGGATGAGTTGTGTACTTTGGAACTTTGTACTTGTACTTCGAATTACAGCACTGGAAGGGTAAGGGTGGTCCACTTGATTGGCAGCTTTTGGACTTCTCTTATTTACCCTTTAGCTCTTGATAGCATCTCAACCAGATTGGTGTGGAAGAGGTCCCCTATGGTTTTCATCTTTAGTGCTTGGCTCTACCTCTTTTGTATTGTTACTTTTGTGGTTCCCTTAGCTTTCAGCCTTTTGTTCTTTCAGTACTTCACTTGGTCACGATGTAAGGGTTCGGCCACCCTCATCTACTCTCTTTTTTTCGCCTTTTTAATAAATTGCCTTTTGTTTATATATATATATATATATATATATATATATATATATATATATATATCAAAGCTGACTCTAATATATATATATCTGTGTGTGTGTGTATGTATGTGTGAGTGTGTGTGTGTGCGTGTGTGTGTGTGCCTATATGTATGTATGTATGTATGTTTGTATGTGTGTGTGTGTGATGACATGCTTCAATCAGATGCTCTAATCAAAGCTGACTCTTATTCTGGATTACACACGAGTAACCTGCCCCTCCTTACGTCTCCTAGGCCAAGAGTTCCGGGTTTCCTCCTCGGATTGGTCCTAGACGAACTTCTTCATGTGTCCTCTATGGATCAACCGGGCCATCTCGTTCTTTAGGTATAACAATCTTCTATATTACGATCATTCTTCTGGTAGTTCGTGCACCATTTTACTATTTCCTCTACATTACACACCTTTTGGGCAGCGTGTGTCATCATCTCCGCCATTAGGATGGTGAAAACTGGATTGTGCGATTTTGAGGTATAAGAGGACCCGGTAGAGTAACCCTTAGGCTCATCCAGGAAACGCGACTTCCTCCCTTTCTACGGCTTCCCTTTTTGACTATTTTCCGCCTCCTGCCAGGGTATTTCCTTCTTTTCAAGGTTTTTTATGTTTTACATATGCTTAAGATGTGGATCTAAATTACTGGAAAAATTATTATCTTCTTATGTTTTGAATGTAGAAAAGGGTTAAATGGAGTCCGGCAATAGATGAGGAGAAGATGAAGGAGGCATTTTTTAGCAGAGCTGCAGGTTTGTACAGTGGATACATGTACAATCAGAGGACGGACGGTCGGCTGAAAAAGAAGACGGTGGAAGTATCTACTTTAGAGAGCCTGAAGGAGGTAAACTTGTAATTTATATAATAAAAACCTTAATTTTCTAAACAAAGTGGTTCACTGTCTAATGTAAATGACAATAGGGTTGGAGCGGTCCGGAGTTTCAGGAGACGAGCAAGAGAAAGAAGAGGAATAGGCGCAAGGGTAAACAGGATGGTCCTGCACTTGGGACGTACACTGGTGGGACGATTCCATTTTCTGAGAATTATAATCGGCTGGTAAAATATTTAGCATAAAATAAAGCGACACGTATTTGTATACATTGAATGTAATGTTTAATATATATATATATATATATATATATATATATATATATATATATATATATATATATATATATATATATATATATATATATATATATATATATATATATATATATACCCGAAAATAACCACCAAAATCAGTGGGGTAAGGTCCAGGCCACCCTTACCAATTTATTAGAGAACACAATTAATACACGTCCGGGGAGGACTAGACCGAAGCCCCGAAAGTAAAACAAAAAAGAAAGTCAAAAGACAAACAAGAAGGTCAACCTCAGAGTCTGACCGACAAACACCCTCAATTACATCTCACGTAGATCACCTTCTCCCCCTTCTCTTCGAGACTACCTGCCATCTAAATCTGTAACCCAACCGATCGCAGAAGTGGAATCCTTCCGCCTTGAATCTCCTTCCCAGACAGAAAGAACAGGTTAAAGCTCAGGTTAGTGAGATTGTTATCCAAGATCGTCCATTTTTTCCTCCTCTTCTTCCAACTCCAGTCTCTTAGTGTTTCTAGGATACCCCGCTTGACCTTTGAAATGTTAGGCGAGTCTGATTCATAGATTATTCTATTGTATTCTTTCCAAATATGCCATACAATAATCCCTGGAAGGATGCCACGCAAATGTCCTTTGAGGTTATTCCTTCTTTGAGTAAGGTTCCATTCCAAAATGTGTTGATTAAGGTTTAAGTTGCTTCTAGGAGTAGGTCCATCTACTGCCTCTGCAAAGAACCTCCAAAGACCCATACTACACTCACACTGAAGTAGGACATGATCTTTAGATTCTTCCTTACTCTTGCATAGT